TTTTCTGGCGTAACCGGAAACTATTGTCACTGATGCGTTGTAGTACCAATGTCGTGCGTTCCCGTAGCTGTTCTATCGTCTTCGCAACAATCAAGATATCATCGAGATAAGCTGCAACCCCTGAGATATCTGACAGGATTGTATCCATTAGTTGTTGGAAGATAGATGGGGCAGTCATAACTCCAAAAGGTAGACGGTTATACTGAAACAAACCGCGATGAAGTGTTGATAGTAAGCAGCTCTTTAGATGCTTCCTCGTCTTCCACTTGCAAATAAGCATCAGCTAGGTCAAGCTTTGCGAAGAACTTTCCTCCATTCAGCATAGTGAACAGATCATCTGAGACTGACAGAGGATAATGATGCTGTTCTAGAGCTGCGTTTAGACCTGTAGAGAAGTCGGCACATATAGGTATCGTGGCGTTGGCCTTCTTGATAACGATTATAGGTGCTGCCCAACTGGAGTAAGAAACGGGAGTAATAACTCCTTGTCGTTGAAGGCGATCCAGCTCTTCATCTACTGTTGCTAATGTAGCATACGGTACAGGTCTCTTTGGACGAAAAGCAGGCTTAGCCCCATGTTTCAACCGAAGTGTTGCTTTCATAGCAGTGCACCGACCCAATCCAGGTTCAAAAATGGTTGAAAACTCTGTCATCAGCTTCTTCGTATACGCTTCTGGGTCATGTCGTTGTGATACCAGGTTGCATATGGTATTTAGCGGGACATCAGCCAATTTTAGCTGGTCGAACCAATCTAAACCAAGTAAATTTAGATCAGCTGGCGTTATATAGCATACCCCAGTAAACGACGAATCCCGGAAAGCAACTTTACATTCCAATTGTCCTAACAGACGAAGATAATTACCACATGCTGTGCGAGGCTTTTGTGTTGTGTGCTGCAGGCTTGGGCTGCCCAACTTGGTCCAATTTTTGCGTGAGAGGATAGTGACATCAGATGCAGTATCTATTTGCATTCTACACAAATAACCGTTAATATTAAGAGTAATAAATTTCCTCTCACTTGGTGATGAACTTTGGCAGGAAGATATTAGGCTCAATGCATTGGTACTGGATCTAGGAACAGGCTTCTTAGCACTTCTGGATCGCTTTGGCTTTTTCTGTAGGCAAAAGCCATCTTTATGACCGATGACTTTACACTTCCTGCATCTATGCTGCCTAAATGGGCAGTTCCGTACATAGTGCCATGAACCGCAGTGCCAGCAAGCAGAAGGTGGATTCATTTTGGGTTTTTGGGCCGAATTGGAGCGGGGTGAACTGGGTGTAGCATGGGCAGACTTATAATGATTAGGTGGCTGCTGTACCAAATGAATTTCAGATCGGCTTGAACTACCACTCTGAACTATAGTCGAGTCTCGTTGTAGGTTAGTGAGACGTTGGTACTCACGAGCCATATCATTAAGCGTAAGCTTTGGATCTTGCTCCAACCGATTTAGTAGCCTTGTTCTAATGTCACTGAACTTACTCGACTGGAGGCTGCAGATGAGTATGAGGGCTTTGAACTGGTTTTCCGACAAAGACTTCAACCGAAAGCGTTCGCATTCACGGTTGACGATGCCCACGTGCGTAAGAAAATCATCATCTTCGTTCATAATAAGCTTCAAACATCGATAACGAGTATTAAATATTGACGAGTTGTCTCCAAAGTGTTGGCTTAGAGCCTGGACAGTCTCAGAAAACGAACAATCTCGTGGGTTCAAAGGCCGGATCAAATTACAGTACTTATCCAGCTAACTTGCGCCCAACTTTCGAAGTAGCAGCCGAACCTTCCAAGCAACATCTTGGTTGGCGAAATCAAATTTAAATAAATCTTCATAACGCAGGAACCACATGTCAAAAGTAACATTTGCATCAGGATCATAATGAAATTCAGATATGCTATTTGCGATGCCGTCGACCGATGGTGCTGTGGTTGCATTAGATGAGCTGGGCTGCGTGGAAGGGGAAATCTTCATGTCTGTCAACATCTGCATCAGTTTCAGCTGCTGCTCAAGTAGTAATTCAAGTTTGGCAGGATCCATATTTCCAAAAGCACCGTCGCCACTGATAAGTTCGTCACTTAGTATGCTTGAGGCTACTACGAGTTTACCTTCGTCGATAAACGCGAACGAGACTTTTACCAGCTTCCAGGGAGGCTACCTTGAATACCCAAGTCGGAAAAGAAGGCTTTGTAAGCGTAGAAGTATATTCTACAAACACCCAGCAATCCAGTACAATCAAGCATACAACTCTCGTTTATTTATACAACATAACAACGTCCTTGAGACAGTTAAGAAAATAGCATACTAAAATACACTGTAGCCAATCACAGCCATTGATTTTCCTGGTGGGAATCGAAATCTCAAGGTCATTTGATCAGCCCCTGCTGGCGAACGTGAGAACCGAAATACGGCATTATCAAGCGAATTTTGGGGATCTAACATCCCCAACAGTGACGCAGGTTGGCAAAAGCCAATCGAGCCTTCTGTATCCGAGCTGAGATTTCGTAAGTCACCAGGCCATCGGCACTGATGAGACTTCTGAGATAAGTGAAGCGGTCTGCACGCTCGACTACTTCACTCCCTATCACTAGTTCAGGTGCCGATGAAACCCAGTCTTGAAGCAACATTTTGCATTTCCAGGGGGAAAACCGCATCCCGAACATGCTTGCATTGTTGCTTATGGTAGTCAGAAGACTCTGCATTTTGTCAGCGTCTTCACCAAGTAGGACTATGTCATCGGCATATTCTAAGTCAATAAGCGAGCCACCTGGTAGAAGGTCTGCTCCTGAAAATTCAGACGAGGTTAGGTTATTTCTAGGAGCATGTCTACGTGTTACACAACAACAACAACAAAAAAAACAATATACCAACTAACCAATTTTAATTGATAAAAGATTTTCCATATAATTTAAATCTAATGCCATTGAAGCAGCAATTAGCTCATTGGTATTACGTGCTTCATCTATATGTTTAACTAATTCATAATTTCCAGTGGACATTGAACATTCGAATAAACTTTTCCCATTTGATTGATTTGCTATTGTTCTACACCAACATGATAAATAATAATCGATTTTGTTAATATCTTCACGTTTTACTAAGAGAAAAACAAAACAGAGAAGAATCAGTAAACGACGTATGCGAGCGCGCACACACACACATTGTAAATAGTCAAATATTGAAATAACTGTTCAAAGAAATTATCACATACAATAGTGAGTACCTTAAGTAAACATGAGATATGTTTTGATGGTGCAAATCATATATAATCCAGACAACTCTGTAATTACAGATCATAGGATTTTGGGATACAGCATTGTTACCAATTTCGTTGATGTAAAATTACCTTATACAAAAGAACCTTGATATCCTAAGATAGGTTGTTAAAGCAACAACGTCTGACTGTTCTGGTATGAACCAGTACTCTAGTAGTAAAAAGATTGAGATGTCATGTTTTTGACTGAATGATGAAGTGATGGTTATTGGTAGAATTCCAAAAAGTGTATTCCCTGTTATTCACAAATCGCCAGGTTGATGTATTTGAGCAGCAAATCTGAAGAGTAGAGTTATTTAGTGGGTATCTGTTGGGGACGTTAGATCCCCAGAACTCATTTGGAAAGTGTCCTAATTTTGGATTTTTTTATGTTTTCGCGCATAGTTGACCTTGAGCTTACATTTCTTGACTGTCATTAAGTGATGGATTTTTTTAGTACATTTTTTTGTGGCTCTCCCAAAGACGTTTCTATCATTGTATAAATAAACTTGATTTGTGTGCTTAGCAACCTCGAATTTTCTAGGTCCCAGTAGATTACATTCTCTACGCCTTATCAAAACTTCTTGCTATAGTTAGCCGGGCCGGGGACAATCAAATCAGAATAGTCTATGATGTCATTGAGTCATTACTCTTCGTTCCATTTACCAAGTAAGGTGAACTCGTAATAGCATTCAAGCATATCAGCTGATGGGCATATCAGTATCTTTAGGAATTATAATCTTCAATAGTACATCAGTAGCTGGAGACCATTAGTATAAATTGTTGCTTTGATTATCACTCGTTGCTACTTAATACTTATCAGTATTCTTAGAAGAACTGATACTTCCTGGAAGATATACTACTATCATTTCAATCCGTATACAACAATCAAATAATTTATTAATAATAGAAATGGCATTCTGTTATTCATTTTTCGGTATATGGCTAGTGTCGGCGGATAACATCTGGATTCAGTCGATCAGTATATAATCCATTTGGAGTTTATTTAAAATGAATTGTACTTTGTTTTTTAGTTTCAATGTAAACATCACCACTTGAATGCAGATGCTGAGGAGTCTCGCAAAGGACAAAACATGTGTTCTTTTTTAGTTCATGGTTTATCGTAAACCTAATATACTACTTTTATATCAGTGATTATCGTTAGTTATTTTATAACTAATTGTAGTTATGTCATAACTAACCAATCAAATTGTGGCTTAAGCTCCCATCACGTGATCTGATCTGACGTGTGTCTGTAAACCTTCTTTGTTGTAAATGACCTACAAATCGATTGACATTATTATCTTATTATATATTGATATGACTCATAACTGTACTCATCATTTCCATAAGACACGTTATATTGGTCGGTATGTTTGCTTGTCTTACTTGATAATTGTAATTTCCCAATTTATTGTACTAATCTAATTGTTTTAATGTTTAGAAACAGATAAAGTTTGAAGCAAAAGTTGATCTTGTTCTGACTACTATGGCTTTTCCATAGACCCTGTGCTCGCCAATATTGCGTTTACCGTACTAGAATTACATCTGTAGGACAAATTAAATCCTACAATCATACCGAGACAATTCACTTGGGATATATATATATATGCATTACGGGGTTGTGAAGATTGTTAAGTTACACATTTTTGAAACCATGAACCGATCAATGTTAGGGCGTTCGCGCACAATACCGAAGGTCCTGGGTTCGAATCATGCGGGGTGCAGAAGTCGTGGATGCGCACTGCTGAGGAGTCCCATACCAGGACGAAACGGCCGTCCAGTGCTTCCAGGTTTCTAATGGTGGTCTAACATTGATCGGTTCATGGTTTCAAAAATGTGTAACATATATATATATGTATATACTTACTTGCATTCCATATACCACAGTTAAGACCAGGTAAATTTTTAACTAACCATGCTCTTCGTTCTTCATAATGATAATAAACATGTAGGCCTGCATTATTCTTAATTTCTGGATCAGCGCCTTAACCAACAACAAAATGAAAATGGAAATATTCATTGTATTCAATTTATTAACATTTACTTTTTGATATCGCGTACAAAGAAATTTAATGTACTGTCTATAGACTAACAATTATCGGCAAAATGAAAAATATATGTGTATACTTAGATGATTGTTACGATAATGGTAAGATTTGAACAATTGCAAATGAAACACGACTCATCCTCAATGAACAAGTTAATGGTATTTTGTATCAATAGTTCAAAGTATACTGCGTTGTGAGTTTGAAAATGGAGATAGATATTGAGTATGAGTTTCAGTGTGAACATCAAGACTGAGATGTAGGTAGATCTAGTTAACAAGTTCTTAAGAGGATGAAAGAACATTCATGGCTCTTTAATGACTGCGTTAGATTCAATGTTGGGTTTAATACTTTTGTCGGGCTGCGCTGAACTCATATTAGGTAGGGCTCAATAATTTAGTGGCCCATGATGACTCCACCGATATTTATCAACTAAGTATGCCTTGAAATAGTTCTGCCCTTTCGTTTCCGTATATCATAATTTGGCGAAACCCGTTTGTGCGACAGCGGTAATGGGAAGCTAAATGTGGATTTGGTTGGATAAGTTTATTTCCTAAATTCATCTAAGCAGACAGACAAGAACGGATAGTGCACAAGCAAAGCGAAGCAAAGTGAGGAAGTCTAATGAGCCAAAGCCGTTTAGCTTTGGTTCGCTTGCACACTTTTTGTTCTCACTTGCCTGCTTAGATGAATGTATAAAATAAACTAATCCAGCCGAATCCGTGTTTGAATTCCTGTTACCGCCGTTGCACAAAACGGGGTTCGCCAAATTATAATATACGGAACCTGAAGGGGGAAACTATTTCAAGGCATACTTAGTTTATAAATATAGGCAGAGTCATCATGGGTCACTAAATTAGTGAGCCCTACCTACTTCTAGTTCGACGCAGCTCATCAATAGTGGCGTCCCCGACGTCGAACATGATGCAGCCCGCAATGCTACTGATAGCCACTGTCAATTTCAGCTTCAAAAGTACAGAAGAATTCTTCGAAATATTTATTACAGTTTATTTTATAGTACATCAATTGCTTGAACAATTAATCAAGATGACTGAAATTCATTGAGTAGTTAGTTGAAATTCAGGAAACAAGCTATTATGATATATTTTTTCTTTACTGTATGGTCCTTAAGCTAATAAAGAGATTTATTTTAAAAAATTAATCAGTACTGTCGATTGATATAATAATTGCTTCAAGGATAATGATGTGTAGTATCATGAAAACATTTTACAAGTACGGTCGTTTTGATATGACAAAGTATTCGTAGAATCCAAACTCAGGTTTGGACTGGGGAAAAACTGTCTAAGTAGTTTATACACGCACTATTGCCCAGTTGAAACCAAAACGAAGTGATTTCGGTAAGTGATGGTTCTAATATTCATCATATATATAAATTTACATCATTACCTAAACAATATTACCACTCAGTTATTCCACCAACAATTGTTCAATTAATCAAATCAACAGCAACAAATAAATGTTATTCTATCCTTTCTGGATAGATCAGATTCGTTTGAAAGATAATATTTGGTTGCTTTATAACACAGAGTGTTTCCTATTCTGGAAGAGTGCTTCAATTCACAATCAAAATGCACAATTCCAGTCAATGCAAGCAACACAATCAAAAGAGGAACAAATCAATCTGGCTGTCGTCATGACTAGGTGTCAGCTAAAACAACATAAATGCAGTTCAGAAGGAAACATGGAAACTCAGTGCAGGCAGAAGAAATAGAAACTATAATAAAATACAAATATTATCATCCACGAAATGGAATCGAACAGACTAACAAAATGTACAACTGAAGGAATCAATAAGGACAAATTACAAATGTATTTATACACGGAGGGATTTTCACAAACAAAGCCTTCAAAAATAGATCTTACATAATTATATGCTCAACATACGTTAATTAAGGTATTAATCATTGGCAGATCTGACTAAGGAAATTATATGTATAATCATTTGAGTTTTATCAGATAAGAAATCTCATATTAACGGTTGTTGACAATATTTAAGTAGATAGAATTACTTGTATGTAGTTAATTCAAGCTTTGGGTAATAATTAAATACTATGAACGAAGAAGTATCAAATGAACTACCTTCATAAGAAAGTTGTTCAAGTATTTGATTATTTTTGATGGTTCGTTTGTTTGTTGGACACGTATCATTTATTTTAAAATAAGAGATGAGAGAACACTAATTTGCAAGGGTTGATAGTGTTCGGTTATTCACATTCAAGACTTCAATTAATGAGTCTTTAATCTCATGTGTACACACCTTAAGCGGATCATCTCCATATTGAGTTATACAATAACCTTGACAATATTTGATATATAAGTAACAGTGGAATCCAACACTCATCAGTTACATATGTTTGAATTCTAGTTTTTATTTTATGTTCAGGATCAATTTGAATTCAGTATCATTCGCTTCAAACACCATTGCGTCATCTACTGAGCTCCTAAGTTCAGATAATTTTAATAATTGACTGATATATTTGGAAAGTAGGTTTGTTTCTGACAACAAAAATCCTTGGCAAACAAGAAACACAACGTGATACAATATCAAAAACAAGATCTTCAAATTTAACAACATAGAATCTGATAACTAGAATAAAACGAATATTCAGGACACAACACCTGTAGTGAAGGAGAACACAGGTGAGGGCAACCGAATTGTATTTAACGAAAATTACAGAGTTACTCAGTAAAATAGGAAAACCATATCGTAACCATTAATTTGCAAACTTCAATCCATCATCAATCCATTGTCTGACATTTCACTCACTATTCATGCGTTTCATACAAATTCCATTGTTTTCTAACTCTTCCTTTCTTGATCTTCCCCCATCTTCTGCTGCAAGACATTACGTTTACACTCGCGTCATATACTACTTATAAGTAGCGCGCACCATACACTTAGCTTCGTGAGGAAATTTTCGCAGTTCCTATGAGATGTCATGAACAATGGAGTTCAATCCTTACAGGTCATGATTTCAATCAGATTTATCATCAGTTAATGATGAATACTACCATGAAAAATGTTATCTGCATATTTACCGAAAATCTAATCAGAAGAATTCCACCAGTACTGAGAATTTGACCACAGAATATTATTTACTGTTCGATAAGCACAAATGATTGTAAAATCTATTTTCTTCATCTTAGTGTTTTTTTTTCTATAACTCCCTCCCATTGAGTTTTATTAAGTTAAAATTTTAATAATTAGAACAAACTGAATCTGCTCTGCCACCTAATAATATGCAAAACTCAGTAAGCACAATCAAATATATCACATTCAGAATTCTAGTCAGGCAAAAAGCTGTGACCAGTAGAATTCAACCTTACGGAATGTAGGCAGAAACGACCGAACACAATGGGTGAGGTTACGAGATAACCTTAGATTGATCAGAGTAAGACGTTAACACCACTGGATGCTGGCTCATTGGTTCATAGGTTAGGCGTTAGCGTGCGAGACCGAAGGTCCTTGGCCCGAATCCTGCAAGTATCGGGAGTCGTGGTGTGGTGTGAGCTACTTATAAGTAGTATATGGCGTGAGCGTCAACGTAATGTCTGGCAGCATAATATGGGGAAGATCAAGAAAGGAAGAGTTAGAACACAATAGAATTTGTATGAAACGCATGAATAGTGGTGACAATGGATTGATGTTTGGCAACAGGAACAGTCCAGTTCGATATGATGAACTGATATTTTGCTAATTAACGATTTACAATATGGTTTTCCTATTTTACTGAGTAACTCTGTAATTTTCGTTAGATACAATTCGGTTACTCCACCTGTGTTCTCGTTCATAACATTTGGTGTCCCTGCCTGCTCGGAGGAAGTAGCTCCCGTGGCCAAAGAAGTTGGAGGACGGAGATTTGCGGAGCTTCCTGGAGGAGTTTGAGGCCGCGGTGGAGCTGGTGGGTGTCAAGGGGCCCAGAGCGGATTTGGCGGTGCTGGGGACGCTGCGGGGAAGTGAGGCAAAGGCGGTATACGACAGCCTGGACGGTGCCGCCGGGAAGACGGCGTGGGAGACGGTGATTGACTCATGATTTCCATGATAACTACATAGTGTACTCAACATATATTGAATGAAACCATAATTATCATTACTCTTACTATTAAATTCCCAATAATCAGTGTTATCAATACTAAACAAACAATACATATGATGAATGCTTTTTAAATAATGAATGCGAATGTTAAAATAAAATCTCGACTTTATGAATAAATATTCGATCAGTAAATATCATGTGCATTAAATTTTATTTTCTTTGTTGATAATTTCAGCATTGATATCAAGTTCTTTAGTAAAAACAATTCATTGACCCAATTGCGTCACAAGACAAGTCCTTACTTGGAACCCTCAAGGTCAAGTAAAAAGAGACAAGCCAAGGAATACATTACACCGAGAAATGGAGGTAGACATGAGAAGAATGAAAAAAAATTAGTCAGAACTTGAAAGGTAAGCCCAAGGCAGAGTAGGTTGGAGAATACTAGCCGACGGCCTATACTCTATTAGGGAGTGACAGGCATAAGTAAGTAAGTTAGTTAGTTAGTTAGTTAGTTAGTAAGTGCATAAGTAAGTGAGTAATGAAGGTACAATTCATTCAATCCTTACTTAATAATCAATATCTAAGAATAGTAATAGTCTTTGTCTGATAAATCTTGACACTTATACTCTATGGTCATTTGTATTTGCTACTGATTACCATTCTTCCTATATGTGTGCACAAACCAGCGACTTGACTGAGAAAATGAATAGTGATCAGGAAGCTATTATTGAATGAAAACAATTCGAAAATATTATAGCACCTCATATGCATTTACGTTTGTTTAGATGTAACTTGGTTAATCCCTTTTATTAACCTATTTAACACAGCGTCACTTGTATAGCGCAACAACAAACCATTGTACTTTTATTACTGTTCAGAATGTGTGCGCATGTATGTCTGAACATTGTTTACCGCCTATGCACATATTCATTCTATCAGCTTTAATGATTAGTTGGTGATGTAATTCGATAACAGTATCGATTATTTTGATATTTCTAATAAATTCGATAATATTATCGATCAGTATATATTGAAATTAATAAAGTGAGTTATGATAAGCCTTAACGTTTTTAGAGCAATGGTTATCAGGACAAACAGCATTATATCGAATATCCACCGTCAAAATACATACACAAAACACGTCCACCCACTTCCATCAAAAACGAAAGCCATATTTTTAAACGAAAGCGTTTTTTTTTTCTTTTTAGACAGTTGGACAGAATTTTGAGCAGAAAAGTACCCCTACCAGCATTTATTACTTATCATTTAGCTCATTTCTGATTAGTACAGTAAAGGATGATCAACAGCACAAATTGTGTACACTTTCATAACAAATACCTCTTTAACATTCATTCAATTTTAAAATTATTCAAAATATGCTTTTAACATTGAATATCTTTCAATTGTATTCAATTATCAACATTCTATATCATCAGTTCAAATGTTGTAATTATTTTTCTAAGGTGCTTCAATTGTAACACACGTATTTGTCTCTTGTTTTCTCAAATGATAAAACAAAAAGGAATAAATTCCAAAAATTGTAGTGCTTCTATTTCAACTTTCCCGGTATTCAGCATCGAGATCATTTGTGACCAATTTAAAACAACACAATACAATCCATACAATTTTATACAGCATTCATTCTTTTTTAATGCAATAGTATTTGCACAATTGAAAAAAAATAGATTATTTAAAGATTTAAACAAGTGAATATCTTATTAAATATTATTAAACCTTAATTATTGATTCAACTCTTTTCTATTTCAAACTAAATTGAACATTGATCCTTTTAAACTATAAAATTTGAATTTTATTATCATACAGAATGTTAGAAGATACTGAAGTGAACGAGAACACAGGTGGGGCAACCGAATTGTATTTAACGAAAATTACAGAGTTACTCAGTAAAATCGGAAAACCATATCGTAAATTGTTCATTTGCAAAAGATCAGTTCATCCATATCGAACTGGACTGTTCCTGTTGCAAACAATATCAATCCATTGTCACTATTCATGTGTTTCATACAAATTCCATTGTGTTCCCACTCTTCTTCCTTTCTTGATCTTCCCCCATCTTCTGCTGTCAGACATTACGTTGATACTCACGTCATATACTACTAATAAGTAGCTCACACCACAATATGACTTAAATTTAAACTTAATTTAAACAAAATCATAAAATGTCTTACTTACCTAAACGAATTAAATGTATTGCTAAAAATTCTGTATATGGTAAAAGACATATTAAATGTAACACTGTATTTCCCATATGATTTTGTGCATTAATTGAACAATGACCATAAACAACAAGACGATATACTAAGCTAACAATTGCAGCAATCCATTTTGAATAGAATTTATTTTCATGTTTCATTACAATAACACTATAATCATAACATTTTCTCATTAATTTCGGTATTGATACAATTAAATAATGCAATAATGTATTTCCAGTTTGTTCATCTTTAATATTTCCATCATTTTCATTGACTGATTTATGAGCTAACCATAAATCATGAATTGATTTACAATGATTAATTATAGTGTATAATTGTGATGATTGAAAATTATTATTCTGTGAATTGTCTACAGTAGTAGTAGTAGTAGTAGTAGATGGTAAATTCAATGATTGATAAGTAAGTGAACGATTCACAGTTGTGGTTAACATTTCACTGGATAAAATTTTACAAGAAGAATCTATTGTCATGATTAGATTAAGTATAGATTTTGTGTTTACTGATTTTATATAATAAAAATATATTTATATATGTATATGTGGTGTATGTATATGTTTATATATTGGCTCCAGTACATATTACTCTAATGGTTGCCTAGTGATAAATATATATATATATATATATATATATATATATATATATATATATATATATATATATATATATATATATATTTATAACCAAGATCCATCGGAATACTGATCAGCTGATTTATAAGGACTTAGAATATTGTTAGGTCATTTATTTATTCAATAATTTAGTTATTCAACAAACACAATGACTAGTTTAAGCAAATTTGCAAAGAAAAAACGTTTTACATCTTTATAATGAGGAATAAGTGTTTTTTTATGTATTATACTGAAGTAGAGAGATAAGTTGTTATTTTGGGGCACAGTTTTGGAGGTTTGCGTTTTTACACATTTGAAATCATTAATTAATCATTGTTAGACCACTATTAGAAACCTGGAAGCACTGGACAGCCGTTTCCCTAGATACCTAGATCAATCAGAGTTAGACATTAACACCATTGGATGCCGGCCCAGTGGTCCGATGGTAAGGCGTTCGCCTACAATACCAAACGTCCCGGGTTCGAATCCTGCGAGGAGCAGGAGTCGTGGATGCGCACTGCTGAGGAGTCCCATACCAGGACGAAACGGCCGTCCAGTGCTTCCAGGTTTCTAATGGTGGTCTAGTAACAATGATTGATTGATGATTTCGAATGTGTAAAAACGCAAACCTTCAAAACTCTGCCCCAAAATATCGTAAACAGTGCTCACTAGTGACTAGCTTCGTGAGGAAATTCTCGGAGTTCTAGTTGAGAAGACGTGACCAATGGAGTTCAACCCTGTCGGGTGTAGGCAGTCACCTACCAAAGACAAATGGGTGAGGTCGTGCAAAAATCCGTAGATCAATCAGAGTTAGACATTAACACCGTTGGATGCCGGACCAGTGGTCCGATAGTTAGGCGTTCGCGCAATATACCGAAGGTCCCGGGTTCGAATCCTGCGAGGTGCAAGAGTCGTGGATGCGCATTGCTCGTTGCTAGGTATGCTTGAAAATATTATGGGTTCACTTTAGGGGATAAAACGAGAACGAGACAATGAACCAGCGTCCAGATAGGCTACTCTGACCCGTTGACTCGAAGGAACTAACGAGAAGTCTTGATATATTCTACAAACAACCAGCAAGCACAATGAACTCAAGCATACAAATCACGTTTATTTATACACTATACGGATGTCCTTGGAAGAGTCACAAAAATAGAACACTAAAATAAAACAGCAACCAATCTTAGCTAACGCTTTTCCTGGTGAGAAATGTGATATCAAGGTCAGTTGGTCAGCCCATGAATCAAATCCAAAATAAAGATATTTATCAAGCGAATTCTGGCGATCTAACATCCCCAACACCAGTATAATGAAAACCCTTAACCAGTGAAGTTCGATGTGTGTCAGGTAGGAGAGACTGTTTGTTATCCGTCACAGGCAATGTGGATGAAGATTGTGGATGATCATGGATTGATTAAGTTTAAACACTAGAACTTAAGCGTTTGCGAGAGAAACTGAGGGTTCTGGATTTGATTTCCACTTGCGGGGTCATGGATGAGTACTGTTTTTTATGAGTTCCATAGTAGAACGAACTGGCCAACCTAGCCAAGATCAGTTTGTAAGACAAGTATACTTCACAAATCTATAAAATTCTTTTGTGAAAAGAATATGCCGTAGAAAAAAACGATGCTTAAGAAGGTATAGTTAAAAGAATTAAATTCTTCCTTTGTTGATGATGATATTTAGGACGGTAATCAATCAGTCTTTGTTGATTGATCAGCATGACTACATTGTTGACTTGATGTTATCAAGTGTATTTAACAAGCATGTAGATTTTGTAAATAACCTGTGAAATAATGAATAAAGAATATGTTTATTGGAAGTAAACTATTAAATCAAATATATTCCATCATCAACATTGAACCAAAACAAGCGAATTTCAAATGTCAATTCAACAAAGTGTTCAATAATAAACCTTAAAGGTTCATACATAATGAAATATCATCACTGTTAGACATTTTGTAGTGGTGGCCAATCTTGTTGACGTCGGGATCACCATTTTGTGGTACATTGGCGAGGGACTGAAGCGAACCGTATGGAGAAGGCTAAGATCCAACTCACTGAGACAAACGATGACTAAGAAGTTATAGTCATACAAAAATAAGACAGACATATGACAAGCGAAATAGGTATGCACACACATGAATAAAAGCGACGAATGATTGACAAGGTCAAATAACAAGCGATACAAATCATGTGAGTTCATGGGGAAATTAAGAGATTAACATTAAAGCGAAAAGGATGAGTAAGCGCGTAAGCGTAAGCAATGCTCAGTCGTACAAGCTCATACAAACCAGATAATAAAAAATACCAATGGTACATATGAGTTGTTGCTATACAAAATGGCTTGGTTAAATAAATTAGTCGAAAGGGCTTAACCAAGTTAGATGTAAGCGAACTGGAATATATGTGGAGGCACTACAGACAAAATCATTCATTATTAATTCAATAATAAATTATAATGATTAGTTTAATTATAAAAGTTTTAAATTCACATTCAATGAATTAAAAAAAATATTGATCAGTTAAAAAAACAATTCTAACTGATTATGTTCGAAAACAAAATATTCCTCTTATAAATAATAAAAAAAGGCTAATGTAAATCTGGATTGAAAATTTAAACTGATCATAATTCTTTTCTTATCTAAAAAAATGCTACTATAGTTTACTATCGGAAATCTTTAAATTTTTATGACGTAACTGATAAAATAATTACTTACTTCCTTACTTAGGATGCCGAACAGAATTCTTCAACCTACTCTTTCCAGGGCCTTCTTTTCCAGTTCTATCCAATTGCTGTTTATTTTTCTCATGTCTGCCTCCATTTCTCGGAGCGATGCGTTCCTTGGCCTTTCTCTTTTCCTTTCACTTTGAGGTTTCCAAGTGAGGGCTTGCCTTGTAAAGCAAGTCGATGCTTTCTTCAATGTGTCCTATCAACCTCCGGCGATTTTCACTAATTTCTTCTTCTGCCGGGATATAACTTGCTCACTCTCACAGTAGGTCGTTGCTAATGCTGTCTGATCAGCGGATCAAAAGTATCTTGCGTAGAAAACTGTTAGTAAATACTTGTATCTTCTGGATGATGTCTTTTGTGGTTCTCCAAGTTTCCTCCCCATACAGTAGAACTGTCTTCATATTTGTATTGAAAATTCTGCATTTTAAGTGAGTTGACAGTTGTTTTGAGTTTCAGATATTATTCAGTTGTAGAAATGCTGCCCTTGTTTTACTAGTCTGAGCCTTCACATCTGCATCAGATACACCTTGCTGATTAGTAATGCAATAGATAATTAGTGCATAGTTTAAAAGCCGTTTTGTTTTGTATAGAATGGAAATCAAGTTCAAATGTGACGGAAAGTTCCAGAAAAAAAGAAACTTTTTACGCTGAACTAAAAAAGAAGTTATTAATTCATTCATGCGCACTGCTGATAAGGGCCATACCAGGACGAAACGGCCGTCCAGTGCTTCCAGGTTTCTAATGGTGGTCTAACAATGATTGGTTGATGATTTCAAATGTGTAAAAACGCAAACCTCCAAAACTGTGCCCCAAAATACTAAAAGTTCACCAAAAATGTCCGTGTCCAAATTGGGAAATATAAATTGATCGGTCATGCTGTTGAACTGTAGTCCTAATATAAATTAGACAGTATGATGTGTATTTTAAAAATCAGGATAGAGTTTCTTTATTTGATAATTAAGATTTCAATAATACGAAGATGTTTGTTATTTCTATTTTACTGGCTGCATTGAATTCAAAGTACAGCCCACCACTTTAGTGACCCGCGATCTGACCACAATTTGGACGAACAACTACTAGATATGCTATGAAATAAATCTTCCCTTCTGTTTCCGTATGTCACAATTAGGCGAACCCCGTTTGTTTGATGGCGGTAACAAGAAGCCAAATACAGATTTATTCGGATGAATTTATTTCCACCAATCATTCATGCAGACAGATATGAGAATAAAAAGCGTACAAGTGAAGAAGGCGAGTGAGCCAAATTCAATGTGATAAGGCATGATTACATAATTATAATCAGACAAAAATAGGATGAACATATGATAAACGAAGCAAGCAAAACAATCAAGATTTCAACGAATGATTGACAAGGTCAAAAGATGTTCAAAAAATAGTTACTCGGGCAGAAAATATTGATTAGTTTGTCTAAGAGCTATATGTAGGCTGAATATATTAGTACACAAACTACATTATCTTTCAGCGAGTGAAAACCATAAAACACTGAAGAGATAATTCATTCATGAACACTTGACAATTCCCCCATGGTCACGTGAAACTTGAAATATTTACCGTCGTTTCACACAATCATACATGTTGGATCCAAACTCAGGTTTAGATTGAGGAATAACTGTCTAGCTAGGTTAGATACGCGCCACTGCCCAGTTTAAACCAAAACATGGTGATTGGGTAGATGATGGTTCTAATATTCATAATATATATAAATTTACATCATTACCTAAGCAATATTACCACTCAGTTATTCCACCAACAATTGTTCAATTATTCAAATCAACAACAACAAATAAATGATATTCTATGCCTCCTGAATAGATCAGATTCGTTTGACAGATAATAATTGATTGCTTTATAAAACAGAGTGTTCCCTATTCTGGAAGAGTGCTTCAATTCACAATCAAAATGTACAAGTCCAGTCAATGCAAGCAACACAATCAAAAGAGGAACAAATCAATATGGCTGTCGTCATGACTAAGTATCAGCTAAAACAACATAAATGCAGCGTTGAGAAGGAAACATGGAAACTCAGTAAAGGCAACAGAAATAGAGACTAAAATAAAATATAAATATTATCATCTCAAATGGAATCGAACAGACTAACAAAATGTACAACTGAGGGAACCAATAAGGACAAATTACAAATGTATACATGGAGGGATTTCCACACACAGCCTTCAAAAAATGTATCTTACACCGGCCCGTAAAATCCCATCATACAAAGCAAAGCCAATTAGATGCCTTTGGTCATGTTTCATTCTATAGCATAATCCACACTAAAAGAACGAGTAGGACTTACAACAGTACGCCTAGCCGACGTCCTACATGGATATAACAAAGAACTATTTCGAACCTTCAAGGAGAAACACCTCACGTATATCCCTCCTAACTAATCCGTTGTGCCTACGAACATTTACCATCCTAACCTTTCCATTGCTAACGGTTTCACAGATTTGAACTACTCCTAAAGGCCATTTTCCATATGTCGAAATATTCAAAGCCATGATTACTACGTCTCCTTTCCGGAAATCAATGACAAGACATTGTTGGATGAAGCCAACACTGAACTTAGTTAAGATCTTAGCTTACATGTCTATCCACACCCATAAATTGTATATACTATTCAATTTATTAAATGTATTCGCCTAGTTATTCATATTACAGATTAGGTAAGCATTTAAGTAAGTGAGAATATATAACAAGTGAATATATAACACTTTCTCATTCGTCATCATCCTGATTTGATTAGGTTAAAATTAAAAACTTTCAAATCATATAATGAATTTTATTTCTATTCTAAAAGAATTCATAAACAAGATATTATTCAAACTAATAAATAACATGTATGATCAGAGCCAAAAAAAAAGTCATCAGAAAAAAAAATCAATTAATCAATAATCCAAAACACAGTTTTTTTTTAAATGCAACAACCATTATATTATACAAAATAAATAAAAATCACAGATTATTATTCATTTGGTATAATCAATATAAAAAAAACATGAAAGACATTGAATTTTACAATAGAAATGAACTAATCAATGATAATAATAACAGACAAATACATCCTACTGTAATAGTTACACTCATCCATTTTAATTCATATAATATCGACTTTATAATAATATTTGACTCGGACAAGTGTTGATAACTATTGGCATTAGTCAATGGACAAATTGTAGTGATTGTTTCTGTATATATTTCATGTAAACCATTAAATGGTATCATATCATCTAATAAATTATATACAAATGGTATTAGATATTGTCTAATATTAGGTTTTAATTGATACCAACTAATTGAGAATAATTGATTGATTAAATGTACAATTTCTAGATTGGACATTGATTTTATTCGATCTAATATATTTAATCCAATATTAACAAGTTGATCAAATGGTTTTAGAATAATTTTATTCTTTTCAATAATTTTTAATTGTTCTTGAACAAGTAAATAATTTATATGATATTCTTGAAATAAATTATTTATATTTTCATATAAATATATCAAATATTGATGTTGATGTTCTTCATTATGGGGAATACTTTTTAAATTACGTAAAATTATATTGAAATAATTGATTTCCTCCGGATCAATAAGATAATTATTCACTGTGCCAACAAATAAATTATCAAATGAACGTGTTAAATTTAAAGTTGTTTTAGTTTGTTTATATAATGCTTTAAAATCAATTGGAGGGATATTTAATTTGAAATTATAATTATTTCATTTTACTAATAATTCTCTTTATACCATAGATTATTTTAATAATACAATGAATATAATTAGAACTATAATACATTCAGTAAAATTAAATAGGGACGATTGATTTGTAAACTTTTCAATAGTGGTACATATTTCTTTCTGGTATATACTCTTTGAATTAATTGTTCTCTTATATATTTCTTTGGTATTTGCTAAATTTGAAATTTGGAATTGCATAGAAATCGTTTGGGGAAGGGGAGGGCTTCATTTATATTATAAATTAAAATTTTTTTAAAGTATTCAAGTAATTAATTGATCAGTCTTTAGTTTGAGCTAAATTATTAATATTATTAGATTGCAACTACATACAACCTTCATTATATACCTATTACTGAAATAGTATACACATGTTAAACTAATCACTGTCAGCAAGAAGCAAATGATAGAAATTGCGCCTAAAGTAAAACGTACACACGACGGATCTGTGTTTATGCATGCTAAATTGACTTTTATTATTTAAACAAGTTTTAT